AAAAAAAAAAAAATACTCGTCTTGACATTACACATGGAAAAAAACACGTATTTTTGTAAGCATCGACAGTTTCTCAAATTTCTGCGTAATAGCATGAGCGCGTTGCGTGACATTTTCTTGACCTTCATCGATCCACCCGCGTAAGGAGCTCGAAAGTAGACAAAAATTAGCAAACCACAAACCGACGAAAAGAAAATCATTTAATATTTTTCCAGGAGAATGGCACTGTTGAAAAATAAATTACTAAATACGGTGATAGAGCCGGTTTCCACCGGAAGGAACAAAGTCACCGTGGTAGGCGTTGGCCAAGTCGGCATGGCTTGCGCCTTCAGCATCTTGTCGGACGTAAGTTTTGTGAATGTTTCGAAAAATTGCTAATGCAGCAACAAGCTGCAGCTCGCGTTTAAATTCTCCTTACATCGTAGAACGTTTCGAGCGACTTGGTGCTCGTGGACGTAATGGCGGATAAGCTGAGGGGAGAGATGATGGATTTGCAACACGGCAGTGCATTCCTGAAGAACGCAAAGATCAACGCAAGCACCGATTACTCGGCCACGGCGAATTCGAGCTTGTGCGTGGTGACGGCCGGTGCTCGCCAAAGAGAAGGCGAAACGAGGCTGGATCTCGTTCAACGGAACACAGACATCTTCAAAGGCATCATTCCGCAGCTGGTCAAATATAGCCCGGACACGATCCTCCTGATCGTCTCGAACCCGGTAGACATTCTGACCTACGTGGCGTGGAAGCTTTCGGGCCTGCCAAAGAACCGAGTGATCGGAAGTGGCACCAATTTGGACTCCGCCCGATTCCGCTTCCTCTTATCACAGCGATTGAATATCGCGCCTACATCCTGCCACGGTTGGATTATCGGAGAACACGGCGATACGAGTGGTACGTTCGAGGCGCAATATTCGAAGAATATGATTGCTCCTCCAATGTTCACACCTGGCTGCTTATCTGCGATAATGCTCGCACGCGGGAACAGAATGTCACGTTATCGTCTGATCACTTCATGACTTCACTTCTAGTAAATTTGCACGTGAACCACGAGTGATAGATCTATATATATAACTGTTCAGACCGATTGATTGTGATTTCTAATATATTTGTTTCGTTGTTGTTTTCAGTGCCGGTGTGGTCCGGAGTGAATGTCGCTGGCGTCAGATTGCGCGATCTGAACGAGAACATTGGCACGGACAAGGACACGGAGAATTGGGGTGAACTGCACAAGCAGGTGGTAGACAGCGCGTACGAGGTGATCAAGCTAAAGGGTTACACATCGTGGGCCATCGGCCTGAGCGTCGCGAACCTCGCGTCCGCTATATTGCGAAACTCCAACCAAGTTCACGCCGTATCTACCATGGTTACCGTGAGTCGATAACTCGTGTTTCTTACATAACGCAACACGTGATCTTCGGTATCGTTTCCGTGGATTACAAAACGAACTGCTCTAAGCAAACTCAAAAAATTATTTTATTAATTAAAAAAAAATTATCGCCCCCAATTGAGCAATGTGCTTGACGCTTCGATTATTTTCAGGGATATCACGGTATCAAGAATGACGTGTTCTTGTCTCTGCCGTGCACCTTGGGCGAAGGAGGCGTCTCGAGTATCGTGAAACAGAAGCTGACAGAAGGCGAGACGGCACTTTTGCAAAAGTCCGCCGATATGATGCACGACGTGCAAAAGGACTTGAAATTTTAAACAATTCGTTCCGTTTCGTGCGAATTTCACTTGCTCTCCTAGACGTGCGATCTCGATTATCTTGTGCGACGAAATTTCGCGTTCGTGTAACTGAATGCGCGCAATTTCTATTGTTGCTTTGGCAACAACACCTTTGGTTTCTACTTGTGTGTTTTATTACTTAAGTTTGCATAATCGACACTTGAGAGTGCTACTAAAAACATTCAAGTTTCACTTGTACGTTCAAACACGCCGAAAACACTTCTGCGTGTTGTAAGTCGACACTTGATAGTTGACGTGAAAATCTTCTGCGAACAATGTGTGTGCTCGTGTGACCATAAAGTATTACTATTGTATGTTGTCGATGTTTAACATTCGCATTCATTTAATATGATATTACGATGCACTAATTATGTATTATTATCATGTATGTGTTATATGATACAATAATTATACTATGTATGCATGAAATTATGATTTGACGCAAGACAAGACGATACTTAATCGATAAGTCATAGTACAACCACGTACGGTATGCGATTAACACTGACGACAGTCGGAGAGAACTTAAAATAGAAATCTAAATTGATTCATTATAATATTGTCAGGCAATGTTCAATGTCTACCTCACGAAACACGTATAGAGACTAGTCTGTAATTTTGTATGAAATTTAGAATATCACGCCTTTATATTTCCTGTGACTCGAGATACCATACTATTGTCTCTATATTTATATCAATGTTCTAGCAAGTCAATATTAATTTCAAACAAACAAATAAAAACTATTTTCAACAAAAAACGTTATTTTTCTTTCAAGATTTCTTGTCCAACATCACTCGTTGTTAGAAAACGAATTAACCGCAATCGTACGTCCCCCAATTCGAGTCCCTGTAACCATGGATTGTTTAACAATTGATAAATCGACGCGATGGCGATTCACTAGACGCGTTATGCTCGACAGCGCCTTCTTTTCTGTGGACCATCAGTTAACCGTGTGCGATGTGACATCCGTGATAGAGGTGCTACGGGAATTGAACAAAATCATCGGGTGTCAGAAGCAATGATTCTGTCGCGCATGCTGTCGATTTCGTCGCTGCCGACATGCCTGAAATGTACGATATGCCAGATATCGAGGAGAAGCTTGGCCAGCAAGCACTTTCGTCGTGATTTACCGCCAACCATACTGAAGGAGATTTTCGCCGGCGGCAAGACGAAGAGCCCCGCGTCAGCTGATTTTGGCAAAGACGCCACCGCTGGAAGCGATTTACAGAGAGCGGTCAGTTTCGTGTAAGCGATTTACTGCTTCCCTTGTCTACTGATGGCTGAGCTTTCTGCCACGTCGACTCAAATGAAATGCGTATCTCAAGTTGTTCCGACTTGACCGAATTTATCTTCACATAAGAAAAGAACAAGTTGAGAAGTAAAATTCAGAATTCAAAGAATCCTCGATCTTGGAAACAACCTCTTGATATCCCTTCCAATCGCAAACTCATTGTCGATCGTTTCATATCGTCGCGTAGTTCGAATGAAAATACTCGCAAATATCGTATCCAAGTGCTACAATGATACGACAACTCTTCATTTCAGGCCACCATGTTTGAGGGAAGAGCTGTTGTGCAAGTTTGCGGAACCGGTGCGAGATTGCTGTCACAAGGTGACGGTCGTAGGGTCAGGAATGGTCGGTGTAGCCTGCGTAAACTCCCTTCTCTTACAGGTACATCAGGCGCCGTGTTTCTATCATTCGATCTTTGAACGACCAACTTATCCACCATTCGAGACTATTTTGAGCACGAGTGAAAGTTCGATTGGACGTCGCGCGTGGATTAAATCCGCGACGATTACGATCCAGGACCGTGTTAAAAAGTTCTGGGAAATGTGCATTCTCGATGATGGAAACCCGAAACGTCAAACGTCAAGCTCGAACGTTTGTAATTTTTCTGTTGCATCTCATCGCAGAACATCAGCCCGCACGTCGCGATAGTCGATGCATTCCCGAAGAAGCTGGAGGGAGAAGGAATGGATTATAACCACGGCTCGGTATTTTTAGGAAATCCGCGCATA